CAAGCCGAAGGAAAGGGGAGTGTTGGGCAAAGAGGGGGCAAGACAAGTCATTGGATAGAAGACACTCATGGTCTTGGGAAGAGTTGGAAAGACGCACAGGGAGAGGTGACGGATCGATACCCGAGGAATTCAGCAAAACACGAAGGAATCGCCGAACCACGCCTACCCGAAGAAGCACTGTAAAAGGCCTGAAAAGATGACGGCTAGATCGTGGCATCCCAGCAACTGATTCTTGAGCCAGTGTGCCTACCATTGGAAGGGTTACACTGTAGAGGTTTCATTGGGAACAGACTGCGACGCCGAAGCGGGCAAAGGTTGCACGAGGCCGGCCCCAGGCTGTCTTACACACGAAAGATTGTGAGGCCGTCCGTCATCGACCAGGAAGACGATGGCAGTCGGCATGCTTTTCACGACAGCTGGGAACCATTCGTCAAGGTCGTGGCCTGAGACGATGGGAAAGTCTAGGCCGAAATTTTCACCTACCTAATGGCAGAACCTAGAAGGAGGATTCCGACGGGGCGGTTCCCAATTCACGAATCATCAGGTGGGGCGTAGTGTGGACTAGTGGAGAGAAATAGGTCAGACCATCGAGGAATATACCCTTTGTAATAACAGTCTACTTTGTACATGCGTTGTGGGCGGGTGTTGTGCATGAACTTTGAGCCGCGATCTTCAAAGAGGCTGTCTTGCCATTGACCCAAAGGTCTGGAGCCTCTTCTCCTTACTGTCACTCTTAGTTGTCTGTACCTTGAGTGGGTAGGAGACTCAGGAGGCAATGGGCGTCGTTGAGGTTTCCAAGGTCCGGCAGCTCAAAGACGGGGGTTTGGATTGGATGACGTTGGCACGATTGGAGCAGGTGAGGCCCCGGTCCCCGAGCTCGTCATTGGCCATCTGCATGCTGCAACCGGTAGTCGGGGGAGGGACTCTGCAGATCCTCCTCCTCTTCCTTCTCGCCTCCCATTGCCTCCCAGTGCCTCCCACACATACGACACGACAACCCCTCTTTTTTTCCCCCAAGTATCCCGTCCTGCGTAGGACCAAGGTTTTCCTTTCGGATTTCCTTTTTCTGATGTGCCACGCGCAGAGCGGTGACAGGCCAACCCAGAGGACTGGACCTGCTGTGCGGGCAGACGCATGGCACGGCAGAGTGACACTTGCCCCCCCTCCTTCGATGGAGGTGGCATATGGAGATGGAGATGGGATGCCCCACGATACGTTTGGTGCGTGGATGCGGCGAGTCTAACCCCTCGAATGCCGAGGGGGTTTGCTGCTTGCCGTCTTGGCGGCCGACGATGGGGGGCGGACTATATCCGTATGCACTGCAGACTCTCTACTGTGTTAGAAGTGGTCTACCTAGGAGTCGGGACTACGGACTACTCTGTATAGATCAGACGTACGAGGGGGAAACATGGAAACACGGAGGCACGGAGGCGTGGAGGCACCCAGGGGGGGGGGGGGGGGGGGTTGGGAGCGGGAAGGGTTGACAAAAAAAGGGGGAGGTGTTTGTGGGGGGGGGGGGGGTGGTGGGGAGAAAAGAGGGGGGGGGGGGGGGGGGGGGGGGGAGAGGGGGGGGGGGGGGGGGGGAGGGGGGGGGGGGGGGGGGGGGGGCATTGACGACGGAATGACTTGACAACAAGATGCAAGGGTTCTTTTGGGGGGGGATGATAATGGTTGACGAAAAAGTGATTGAGGAGAGTGGGTGGCGGTTCGTGGTGGAAAGGACCCGATAGCATAGCTCTCCTAGCTCTATGTAGCTACCTTGGCTGGGTGGGTTTGGTTGAGGCGTTGTTTGGATAAGATGAGTATTAGTCGAAACCTCAAGCTTTGGGGTTCGGTACCTTGCCTTTTGTCCAAAGTATCCGAGGTGTCATTTCGATGTCTTGCGGGAGTAGGACATCACTTGAGCCCCATTGCATCTGGGCCTCGTTCTCTCTCTCTAGACTCTCATTGACTGCTGCTACGGGGGCTTTCCCGTTGTTATCGGGTCTGGGGGTTGGTTTCCGTCCATCTACCACTTAGTAGGAGATAAACACCCCCATGCTTTCCAGCCTGCCAGGCATTTACACGGATATACGTAGCGTACCACGATGGCTAACCTAGCGTGCGGGCGTTGGCTCACACTGACCAGGCTACGGAGTACACTATCGAAAATCCGAGGTCAGAGCCGAGATGGGATGTAAATTTCGTATATTCCGTGTCCGGTGCCGTTGGAGAGCACAGAACAAACAGGGCTGGCGACGCTGAACAGGCTCCCCTGCTGGCACTCGGTGAGCTTACCGCTTACAATGTTCTTGATAGTCCAAGCATCCAAGGTGAGAGGTTGAAGCAGAAGCGTGAGGGTGGTGGCAGAGGTAAAAGGTAGGTGGAATCTGTATCACGGCGTCCTCCGTGACTCCGAACCGTACACCGCTCATCTAGGTAGGTATCCCTCGGTGGTTTCTCCAACCCCTTGCTCATGACACCATTCCTCTAGGTCTGTGTTTCCCGTTGTTTCCTGTTGTTTCCCCAAGCTTGCTGCAAACTGCAAAGAGCGGGGAACGGATGGGATAGAGGGGGGGGGGGGGGATGGTGATGTTGGAACTTCGATAAGGACTAGGAAGCGGGAAACCCAAAAAGAACACCACGTGCCGTTCTTGCCCATTTTTTGCCTTTCCTACATCACCCCATCGGACCATGGCACCATTTAAACGTGCGTGCGCACGCACATAATGGCACCGTACGCATGGGGTGAGAGGTAGCCATCTCAACTCGTCCTATTCCTTTATGCCGTTCTTCTGTTGCCTGCCCCGCCCCCCGCAAACCCAAACTCTCCACGACGGATGAATGGGGGGTGTTGGACGGGATGAGTGGGTGAGAGACTGTAAGAAAGAGAGAGATAGAGGACGAGTGTACGTGCGTCTTCAAGATGGCAACATGGCAAAGACGTCTCTCTGTATGCGGTATGTCTTGATGTCCTATACCCCTGTTCCCGTACCTTCCTTTCCCGGTCGATCCAAACTTCAAGTCGTCACAAAACCTCGGGTTTTCCGCACCTCCAACAACATGACATGACATTACACGCAGTCAACAGAGTACAAGAGTCATTCTCTCCACCAAACTCCCGCCCCCCATCACCGGGGGGAGAGACAGAGGCGGAATAGAAGCGGGGGGCGGAGATATTCACATGATGAGACGAAAAAAATAAGAAAAGGAGAGCACACACAGCACGCAGAACGGTCCTCGCTCGAAACGGAAGCGGACGGGAAAATTATCAAGAAAGCCTATACCGCATACCACAAACACTCGTACAACAAGGGGCTGTCTCTGGCCGCCTGCCTCGAGCCGTTGCCCAGGTCCCTAGGTCCAAGGTCCAAGGCTCGATAGGTGCGCAGTATGGTGTTAGTGGGCACTTTGGGTGTTTGAACTGCCCAGAGCCCATCACCGTAACTCCTGGCCGTCCGCGAAATTCCTTTTCCTTCTGCTTCGTCTTCGGGCTTCTCTCTTCGGGCTTGGCACTGTCCCTGCTCTGCTCTGCTCTGCTCTGCTCGACTCTTTTCTGCTCCTGCCTGCCGACCAATTATTTTCTCCCCTTCCCCTCGGCCCTACCTCTCCATGTGTTTCTTGACTTTACCTGCCCGCCTCATTGATACGCCCCCGACTCATCGGATGCGGGAAAGACGGATGGGGATGCGGGCGGGAACGGACGGGTGCCGGGGGGGGGGGGGGGCGGGGGAAGAGGTTCTGGGCAGGCAAAGGCAAAACATACGCCGCAACGGTTCGGTCCTGACTCTTCAGAAATACACGGGGCCGGTGGGAGCCCAAGGGGGGGTTCAGGTTGACGATAAGAAAGAGTGAGAGAGTAAGGGAGAGCAATAGTGCGAGAGAGAGAGAGGGGGGCAATGAGGCAGTCAAGTAACAAAGAGCAGAAAATAAGCATGCCGAAATCGTAAATACCATGTCGACTTTGATATCCGCGTTCGCCTCCCTCCGCAACCCTCGATACCTACCTACCCTTACCTAGACAAATGTACAACTATGTACCGAACCTATAGATAAGGGTAGGTAGGAGCTAGTGCTGCGCTGCCCCCCGTCCGTACCTTTCACCCGTAAGGATCCGATTCAAAACCCAGATTTACGCCGCCGGCAGCATGCACCCCAGCCTTCGCGGGCCGGGATTGCAAAAAAACCGCCACGCCCTGCCCTCCGTACCGATAAAACCTCCAACCCTTCCCGGGAAACATAGGTTCTCCCACACACCACTCCCGATGCCTCCGTCACTGTTCGTCCGTGGCCGAGCGCCGAGAGCCGAGCCTAGACAAGCCTTGACAAGAGTTGCGAGCCTCGGTAGAGACGCAATAGAATCGTGAACAGCCTCTTTTTCTCTCTCCCTTTCTTTACGATGTAGCATTCGTATCGGTGGACGAACGGACATCCGGACTCGATGTCGACCGTAGCTCTCGCGAACGAACATTGAGGACTAAAAGGGTTGCGTGAAATACAGCTCCAGCTCTCGCCGACTACAGTAACTTGCACTTCAACATATAATAAGACAATGTGGAGATTCTCTTATTCGTGCGTCATTGTCGAACCAAACTAGCCGAATACTGTAGCAAAAGAATTACATCTGCAGAAAACCAAAGTTCCTTCTCTCTCGTCGAAAAAGACAGCCAATTGAGCTTGCCTAGAATTTCATCATCATAGCCTCCTTACCCATTCTCAATCTCTCTTTCGGGAGGAGTCTCCAGCCAGATACGATACAGACTGGTGTCCGCCTGACCACTAGACCAGATCTCCCCCCGGCCATCTCTAGATGTCCGATGTGGATGAATACAACCATTCGCCTTTGCCGTTGGGGTCAAAACTTCAGCCTCGAGTTTGCCCTTTGTTTTTGGTCCGTGATTAAACGCCTGCTTTCCCCAAAGTGTCCCATCCGTTTCCTCGGATATGCCTCCTGGCGTGGCCGCCTGACCTATTGCCGGGTTCGTGAATGCCAATGTACAATTAGACGTCGAGATGGTGATTTAGGCCTTTGCCTGGGTATTCTTCTCCTGGTTCGAGAAGCAGGCGGCGGCGTCCTTGCCCATCCACTTATTGACGACAGTCTGGAAGTCTGTTTCGGAAACCACAGGACCTTGACCTGAACACTTGGCCTTCTTCTGCAACTCGGAGCACAGGCCGTCGAGGTCGAACTCGCCAGCCTGCACACTGGGGCAGGTTTGAAGCTTCTCCCTGTTAAAGTTGTCAGTGTCGGATTCGTAATTGCCGCCTGGCAGGGGTGTAACGTACCAAATCTTGTTGCAGTTGTAATTCTCGGCCTTGACAGCCTCCTTAACCACATCATCGTCTGCATTCTTGGCAGCGTCGATTTGATCGATGAGATTCTTCTTGGGAACGTTGGGGCTGGGGGCCATGTTGTATGGTGTAATGAAGTCGGCATCGAGAGCGTCATTGAAGAAGCTTTCATCAAACGTAGTTGCGGCGAGAATGTTTTCTTGCGGTTCGCGGTATCCGCCAAAGAGCTGGGGATCAAATTGACCGCCATTCTGCTGGGCAAGCCAGTCAAAATTGTTTGTGTCAATACCGGCAAACAATGACTGCTGTGCAGTTGACTCCTCTCCAATGGTGGTCATGGTATCAACAGGCTTGAAGCCCATAGGTGACTGGGTGAAGGGCTCAGGGGAAGTTCCACAAGACGAGCTGGGGCCTCCATTTGACTGGGATGACGCTGATGGTGAACTTGTCGATGTGCCATTGTTCATGGTGTAAGAACCAGAGTCGACACTGGCGCGCGATGTGTTGGTGCCCAATGACCCATTGGCAAGCGAAGGGCTGAAGAGAGAAGTGAAGTTGGCCAGGTCGTCCTTGGTACCAAAGTCAAGCCCTGCAATAATACCAGGGCTGTTGTCCTTGGTGTGGTTGAGAGGGCTGACGGGGTTGCTTCCGTTCATTTGCAGAGGCGATGAGGAGGATCTTGCGGGCTGCGCCGGCTTGGTGGGCATTTGAGAGCCGGGCAAGACACCAAACTTGGGGAATTCGAATTGAAAGTTGACGTCGCTGAGGTTGCCAATGGCAGAGTTTCCAAAGCCCATGGGGGACTTGCTGTGGGAGACTGAGCGGGTGCTCATGGCCGCAATCTTTGTCTTGTACTCGTTGAGCTCAGAAGTCATGCGGTCGATCTTTGCCTTGAGTTGGCTGTTTTCGCTGTTAACGTCCTTGGACGCCTTCTCAAGCTCTTCGACCTTTGTCTCGAGATCCTTCAGGTGCTTCTCCTTGCGCTCACGGAATGCCCGCTGCGCAGCGCGGTTCTGTGCCTTGCGTTTCTTGGAAGTGTTAGAATCATGAATATTACTAGAATAATCGTTGAAACTTACTGAGGTCGGCTCGGAAGTAAGCGGCTTACGGCCGGGCTTCTTGGGAGCCTTCTCGCTACCCTCGCGTCTCTTTGCGTCGTTGCCTGGAGAATCCTCATCTTCGTCGTCGTCAGGGTGAGATCTCTTGTCGTTTCCATCATTCTCAGTCGAGTCGGACTTGGTTGACTTGGCCGATTGAGCGCCACCAGGGATGTCGCCGATCATCTTGGCCTGGCCCACGGTGCTGACATCAAAGTCGAAGCTCGAGTCACCAAAGTCGTAGTCGTAGTTGTCGAGGTGGGGACTCTCTTGGAAACCGGTGGCGGCGGCGCCCTGCGCCGGCGATGTCTGATAAGAGGAAGGCGACATTGAGTTATCCTTGGTGGTGGGAGACTGGTTCGCGAGCTGCTGCTTGTTGGAGTTGAGAGCGGCGTAGAGCAGGCTCTGCTGCTGCGGGGTCAAGATAAAGTTGGTTGGGAAACCACTGTTGGTAGTGGAAGCCATTGCGAAAGGAGTGTGAGAGGGCGGCGAAGTGTAGGTAAGGTAAACGGGAGTCAATTCGGTGCAAGAGGGCTATGAAAGGAGGCGAACTCGGAGTGCCGATTGCGGCTCAGGGTGCCGGGGTCACAATGGGTTGAATTCCAGATAGGCCGGATCGAACGGTGATGTCGTCTGAGAGGACAAGGAAATACTCGACTTGGCGACACCTATGGTCCTTGACCGAGGGATTCTTGGACGTCGAGGTCGTCGTCGTCAAGGGAGAGGTTGAAGAAGGATAGTATAACGTCCTCAAGTAGGAGTGGTGGTCCGACTGGTGAGAGGTGACGAAATGCAATGGTCCGACACTGGCTGGGGTGGGATGCGGATGGAGGGAAGTTGATGCCTTTCGGGGACAAAGTTGCTGCCTGACTCACAGGCCGGTCTCCAAGGGCCACCTGCTATGCTCTGTGGACAAAATTCGCAGGATCCAGAATCCACGGAAAGCGGGAGAAAAGACGTGCTTGGGGAGAGGGTGTGCGGTGATGCGTGTGTGCGGTGTAGTGAGAAAAAAGTTGTTGGTTCGCGGTGACGGCAAATGCGTCTGAGTAGGAAGTGGAGAGAATCGAACTGAATGGACAACCGCAGACGGTGAGGAGGGGGAAGAATTTCAGCGTTCTTCAGTGTCAATTTGTCAGCCGTCGTGGACGCCAAATGGAGGAAGGGACCAAGGGGAGGGGGGAAATGGAGGGGGTCGGCCGAGGGGGGGAAGGTACGGAAACCACAGTACGTACTGCCTACCTAGTATTGCGGCAGGTAGGTAGGTACATATATACACTAAGAACTGGGAGAGGTCGGGGGGTCCCAGCGGGGGGGTGACGGGGCCAGTCTGGGTCGATTGAAGCTTATCTATTGGTTCCGAGACCTGGTGCCTCTGATAAGGCGAAGGGCGCAGCTGTGCCGCCAGTGTCGTTTTCGCATCATCTAGCCGTCGACAGATCCATTTCTGTTGCACAATTGTCCATGTTTTTACTCCTCTTCCCCCCCATCTGCCTCTATTTGCCCTCCATTTGGTCCTATCCCTTCCACGGTACGGAGGTACTCCGACTCTGTGTCTTTTGGACCTGCCCACCTGAGCTGCCCTCGCCCTGAAAGAGGGATCGCGGCACCGCGCGCTACTGGTGCAGGGGTTGCTAGTCTGGTGATGCCTCGAGGGGTTCTGTTCCATGTTCCAGGGTACGGAGTAAGGTACGGAGTAGAAGAAGGACAACATTCGCCACGCATCCTTCTTGCTGCCTCCCCGTTGGCCTTAACTTGCTCACTCTCTTATTATACCTATCACTATGGGAATCAATCACACACACACATCTACGGCAACGACCGCCCGGTAAGATGGAAGCGAGCACGATTGGACTTACACAGACAGTGGAGGTCCCAACGGACGGACATTATCCAACCGAGGGCCGACTTCAGTCCAGCAAATCCCATCTGATGTTGCCAATCGAATTCATCGCGAGTCTGCAGGTTCTGAGCCCAGGCCGTCCCGGTATCTCACCACAACATAACGGCCACCAGTTAGCCAGAACTCGCCCATACCAAATTCGCCCGATCTGTCCCATGACGTGGGTATAGCACTTTCTGCGTAACAATGCGAGTGGCGGGCTCAGTCATCGGCCAAGTGCCAAGGGCGAGCTCCGCCTGCTGGCCTCGACTGCAATCTTCCATGGGAAATGGGTCCTCTCTCCCCGTAACGTCCAAGACACTAACCAGACCCGGCTGCCAATTCTTCAAACGGCGCGCCCGCCCTGCTGGATATGAGTCAGGGCCATCCTACGCACCTGTCACCGTACTGCGTAGTCAGACTCTGCTCCAGTGTTCACTGCAGTTGGGGAGCTTGCTACCTATGCAGCCGCTTCGTGCCGCACAGCCTCTGCAGGTCGCTGTAAGTCCGGCATATGTCCATATCCGCCGGAGGTAGCCGTGGTAGCGTCTACGACTCTACAGCCGTCGATCCGTCATTCAGATACATCTGCCAAGATAGTCTGCTATCCCGCTGTAAGCCCCGTTCAAACCCCGAGTGCGTCCGGCGCAACAGGCGAAGCCCATGTCGAGGCTTACGCTTCCCCTACTCTGACCCAGCTTGGCAGCTACACCTAAAGAAAGGTACACTACTTTACGCTTTTCTGAGGTACCGTCCCTTGGAAACCGGGGATGACTGGCTGGAACTCTATTCTTTGCTCGCCGCGAGACCGTCTTGGCCTTGTTTAGCCGTTCACGCAAAAGATCCCATGCAGCGGGCGTATGCTCAAACAAGTGGCTGCCTAGATCTGATAATTCAAAAGATCGTCTTGCAACCCATCTCGTGGGACGTGCCGCTCCAAGGGTAGCAAGGGGAAAACTTGCGCGAAGTAGAAGAACGAATACTGCTGTCAATGCTGGGATGACAAATGACACTGCGAACACGTCTCTGCAACCATACCACCGTTTCGGCCCTGCTATCACAAGATACAGGAATTTACATACCAGCATCCGTAAAGGAAACGCACATCTCCTACGGCACAAGCACGAGACAACAGCTCTTGTTAACGGCCCACATCGTCGCATCCTTCCACATCCATCTATTGTTGTATCGCAGTGCGGTCCTTAGCAAAACTGTTGGTCCAGGGACCAGAAGTGGTCAGTTCTGCTTACATCTCTTTTCCTTGCATAAATCGCCACAGCCTAAGAGGGCGTCTAGACCCGACGCTACTCCGCCCGAAAAGCTTACACTGCACACTGCGCGTCTCGGGACTTTGCGAATATGCTTGGCCTCCCCCTCCACCTAGGTACTACATCGGAGTGGAGGGCACGAAGGAGCGAGATGCGCGAGGCTCAGGCGGGTGCGGCGAAACTGCACACTATCGCCGAGGGATCACTTGAGCCTGCCGTACCTTCTTGCCTAATGAACGGATGTAAAGAGCTGCCGTGTATCTAACGTGCCACACTGCCAATCCCTCATATGATGGAAGATTGTCACTGCCACTACTACCATGGGTTTTTGGGAGCACGCCATTCAAAGAGGCGGCACAGAGTGTTCGATCAGACGAATATTGTCCCAAGGTATTTCACTCGCCGCTGCAAGTCGCCACGGAGCCAGATAAGACCAACGGGACCGGATTCCATCCCCGCAGCCGTCTCCGTTGCGTGCCCACGCATGCCCTCCATGCCCCATGGTGAGCAACCCGGAAAAGGGACCGCAACGTCCCGGTTGGGAGGCGCTGGCGCTGAGGTCATTCCGTCCCCGGCGCGGGGGTTAAGGTAGGGGCGGACCAACAACTCAAAAAAAAAGTTCGCTTTCAGGTCCCTTCGTGCAGAAACATAGGTCCCGCCTTATCCATGACCTTGACGGTCGCCTTGAAATGTTTCCATAACTACCGTTTATATGCTGATTGTTATCCGGCTGCGTATGGTCGTGCTGCGCGCTGCAAGTACTTGGCTCCCGGGTGCGGCGGCACCACGGGTGAGACACGAGAGATGCTTTATGGAATGCCTTGATGCAAGCGATTCTCGCATTTCCACGGTGCAAAAGGCAATGGAAGACCGCAAAAGGCCACAGAAACGAAAGAGGTTCCGGCAGTGGCCGCGCCGGGGGATCCACACGTGGACGTACTGCTGTCTCCCCGCATTGACCACCATGCAGCCGTCCACCACCCCGCCCGTCAGGGGGAAACGGAAGGGAAAGAACAGCCTCATGTCAGAAGCCAGACACCATTCGCCCGCCCACAGCAGCTCTCAACTGTCTACACATCACACGACTTCGCCTCAAACTCCACTCCACACGGAAAGACCACAGCTTTAGCCTCGCGATAGGCTTTTCCCCCGAAAGGCCACCCAAATAAACACCACCAGCGTCGTCAACTCTAAGGAGCTTGGATTCTGCCGCCCTTGCCATGGATCTGGCGTACGATCACATCCAGGAGAACTCGCTCCCCAAGGATGCCGATAAGAAGAATGGCGACGCCAAGGACACCAAATCCGACCAGCCGCAGTCATCTTTGAACGATGACTTGCAGGAGGCCTACAAGGCCATCTCGTCCAGTCCTTGGGGTATGCGCATCGGTGGCTTCTTGGGAAGTGCCGTGAAGCAGGTGAGGCGATACACCATACAAGAGCTCCAAGGGAACCCAGGAATGAGCCGGCTAACCCGGTGATGCTAGGGACAAGAAGTCTACAAGGAAGCCTCCAAGGAGGTGACGGAGCTCGGTCAGGACGCGTCCAAGGGCTTCAGCTCCATAATCAACCGAACGAGATCCCTCACCGTCAACACGACGACGCAAGATGAGTCTTCCGGAGACAAGAGCAAGGAGACCGACAGCCAGACGACGCCCACAAAGACCAGAGACTTGGCAGCTTCCGACGACGCCATGAGCAGCTCCGAGAACTACCTCACCAGGCTTCGCTCCGAGGCAGCCAAGCGGCTCAAGGACCTGCAAAAGGCCGAGGACGCCGCCGACGAGGCTCTGCTCCGCTTCGGCACCAATATCAGCAACTTCCTCAAGGAGGCCGTCAGCATCGCGCCGCCTACCGACGCCAACAGCCAGGGCGGCGCCGTCATGTTCGAGAGCAAGGACGCGCAGGGCAAGCGCGTCATCCACACCTCGAGGCAAGACGCCCAGCTGCACGTCATCCACACGAGCACCGAGAGCTTCGCAAAGGACCCTGCCACGGAGGAATTCGCAACCTGGGCCAAGACGTTTGACGCGGAGAAGAAGACGGCAGAGATCAGCGACGACTTGAACAAGTACCCCGAACTGCGAACGACGATGGAGAAGCTCGTGCCCGACCAGGTTCCCTATGCTGAGTTCTGGAAGAGATACTACTTCCTCAGACATGGTCTGGAGGCTGCCGAGACCCGAAGACGCGATTTGCTCAAGGGTGAGTGAAGGGTATCTTAGATTGCCCCAACTGTTTGCTAACTAGACACAGCTGCTTCTGCCGAGGACGAAGTTGGCTGGGATGATGACTCCGATGATGAGGCCACCACAACT